AGCTGCTGTCATGCTGCTGCCCACTTTCCAGCGGGGAACACTGAGGTGCAGGGGGGAGGATTATGGCTGCACTGCACGGGCCAGATGGGAGCCCAGGTCTGTGGCCTCAGAGCCAAACTTATCCCTGCTTCTAGCTCTCCCACTCCTCCACTCCCTCCCCTGCTGCCCACCTCATGGCCCCCCTGGCTGGTGCCAGGGCTGAGCTTAGAGGGGCTGGCTGGGGCCCAGGGGTGGGCTGTTGCCGGGGGCTTGAATGAGGCAACCTTGCCTGGGAATCTGCTGGGCTGAAAGAGCTATTCTATTTATAGACCTGCACTGGGATTGGGTGAGCACCCCCAGCTCAGAGTGCCTTCTCTGTCCCCCCCACACTGGGGCCCCAGGCCAAGGGCTGCTGTGAGCGGGTGGAGGGAGCAGAGGAGGGAGCTGGTGGGCAGAGTAGGCTGGACCCTCCAAAAGATCTGGGTCTCAGGCGTGGACAGTGTCCCCCAAGTGCCTCTCAACATATCCAAGGCGACACACAGACACAGACACGGCACATGAGACCAGAGTCACATCTATCACATACAATGTCACAAACAACCGAAGGACACAATGACATCCCAGACACCCAGTGACTGCACAGAGGGCTCATACACAACCATGCCTGACAAGGCCACCTATAAGTCACACAGGCCACACATAAACCCCCCTTGCCATACACAAGTCATGCCTGCTGCACAGCCATACTCACAGCTATGAATCTGGCCTCGTCTAAAGTTCCTTCACACTTAAGCACCCACTGCTGTTCACACACTTCTGTGCCTCAGCCTTCCGGCTGCCACAGGCAGCTCACACTTGTCCCATGTTGTTCACCCCCAGCCATGTCTGTAACTGTGGACACCCCAACAGCCAGCCAACCCCCAATCATGATCATCTGGCACCATGTCACCAACATGGAGACATACAGTCCTCCCAGGGCCACACTCAGCAAAGTCACTCAACCTCACCCTAGTCATGGCTCAGGGTGTTCCCACTCAGTCCCTTCACGCCCAGCCATCCCTCCCACTCCCACTGTGACCCCCTCTTACCCAGACTCCCAGGCTCCCATCCTGTCAGAACTGACAAGTCCAGCTGGCACCGAGGGAGCATCTGTCTATTCTGAGCCAGCCCTGCTGGCCCCAGGCAGACCGCGGTGAATAAATCAGACTCAGGCCTGTGCCTACGGTGCTGCTGGCCATGGGACCCCATCACACTCACCCTCCAAGCCTCTCCAGGCTGGGGCCTTGGGTCAACCATTAAACCTATTCCCCAGGGGAAAACAAGGCTCAAAGCTATATATTTTTTAATATCTATTTTATTGATTTTTTACAGAGAGAAAAAGAGAGAGAGATAGAGAGTTAGAAACATTGATGAGAGAGAGTCATCGATCAGCTGCCTCTTGCACCCTCCCTACTGGGGACATGCCCGTAACCAAGGTGACCCTCAGCCATAAAATTATTTTCCAGAATCGAACAATGTCACAAACAACCGAAGGACACAATGACATCCCTTGACCAGAATCGAACCCGGGACCCTTCAGTTAGCAGGCCGATGCTCTATCCACTGAGCCAAACTGGTTTCGGTGGCTCAAATCTATTTAAAAGGCCTTTCCCTACCCTGCTCAAGGATAACAAGCTCATGAGAAGTGCGACCTGTTTTCTGTCAGGGGTGGGGCTGCCTCCCCAGACAAAGTCCCTGCTGGCTGTGTGACTTCAACAAATCCCTGACCCCCTCTGAGCCTCCATTTTTCTCCTGAAAAAATACAGAACTCAGCCCAGTGAAAGCAACTCCAGAGTCAGATGAGGGTTTGAATCCTGGTTCCCCTGGGTGACCATAGCCAAATGCCTTGGCTTTTCTTTAAAAAAAAAAAAAAAAAAATTATATATATATATATATATATATATATATATATATATATATATATATATATATTGTTGATTTTTTACAGAGAGGAAGGGAGAGAGATAGAGAACTAGAAACGTCAATAAGAGAGAATCATCAATCAGCTGCCTCTTGCACACCCCCTACAGGTGATGTGCCCGCAACCAATGTACATGCCCCTGACCGGAATCAAACCTGGGACCTTTCAGTCCGCAGACCGACGCTCTACCGCTGAGCCAAACCGGTTTCGGCTGCCTTGGCTTTTCTGTGCCTCCGTTTCCCTCAGTGAACCCGAGTTGCAGTGCTGGTTCTTTTAGAGTGCCCTCTGCTCCATCCCTTAGGGCAGTGGATCTCAATCCTCCTAATGCCGTGACCCTTTAATACAGCTCCTCATGCGGTGGTGACCCCCAACCATAAAATTATTTTCGTTGCTACTTCATAACTGTAATTTTGCTACTGCTATGAATCGTAATGTAGATATCTGTGTTTTCCGATGGTCTTAGGCTCTACAGGTTGAGAACCGCTAGCAGGGTCGCCTAAGACCATTGGAAATCACAGATATTTACATTACGATACTTAACACTAGCAAAATTACAGTTATGAAGTAGCAACGAAAATAATTTTATGGCTGAGGGTCACCACAGCATGAGGAACTGCAGTAAAGGGTCTGGGCATTAGGAAGGTTGGGAACCCCTGCCTTAGGGGGAGGGGGAGGGAGTGCCCAGTCTCTCCTCACTCCAGCAATGAATGGGCCACTTTTGGCTGCCCTGCTGGGAGCTTACAGCTGGTAATTCCTTAGAGAAACAGGAAGCTCTTTCATGCCCGGGCGCCAGAGGGGTGAGGAGGTGGGAAGAGGGTAGGAGCTGGCTTCAGCCCAGGGGGCAAAGTGGCTCCATGCCAAGCCCAGGAGTGGTGTGGAGGGCCCTGGGGTAAGCATATCCTTGGCCCCAATGGCTCTTAGTACCCTCAGCGGTAAAATGTAGGTGACATGGACTAGCGTAGCAGGTTTAATGTGTCAGTGGATAGAGATAAAAGGGTGTTTCAAGTTAAATACAGGGTGAGCTCTAGCTGGTCTAGCTCAGTGGGTAGAGCTTCAGGCTGTGGACTGGTTTGATTCTGGTCAAGGGCACATGCCCAGGCTGTGGGCTCCATCCCCAGTAGGGGACATGCAGGAAGGAGACAGCCAACCAATGATTCACTCTCATTGATATTTCTATCTCCCTCTCCCTTCCTCTCTGAAATCAATAAAAAATACATTAAAATAAATAAATAAATAAATAAATAAATAAATAAATGCAGGGTGAGTTGCCATATGTCATCCTAAAGACTGTACTAAATTCTCCATCAGATCTAGAAATAGAACTTCCTCCAGTTCACAGGCGAGGAGACAGGCTCAGAGGTCCACGTGCTTGTCCACAATCACTCAGCCAGTTAGTGAGTGGCCCAGCCAGGATTTGAACTGGACCCCACAAGGTCTATGCTCTTCCTAACTTCCTCTGGGGGAGGAGGGTTTTTTTCGTTTTGTTTTGTTTTGTTTTTTTTGCTATGTCCAATTCTGATCCTGAGACCAGCAGACCCAAGTCTGGATGGCACCAGATCATGACTGAATGCAGGAGATCGTGGCAGGCAGGGACTGATGGAGCAGCCCTTCCGCTCCTGTCCCAGTTTCCCAGCCAGCACCCCCTCCTGGGGCAGGCTTGGGCAGACACTAGTAGGACGCCAGGAGGACCATTCCCCCAGCCCTTGAAGAAAGGGGCTGGGCCCCAGACTATTCATTTGACGCCAGGAACCACAGCCTCCTGGCAATGGCTGATCCGTCTCAGAACCCTCCATTCATGCCCTTTCTCAAACACCTTCTGTGACTGCTCCTGAGCTCAGCAGGATCTGGCTCCACATATTTTATTCAAATTCATGGTCCTTGGTTATACTGTTCCCCCTGCCTGGACCCTGCACCTCCCCACTGCAAACCCCTAAATAACTGCCACTCCCCACTGCCCAGCTCTCTCTGTGTTGGATGAAGCCAAGGACTGTAAGAGGCCTCGGTTCCATCCCTGCACTTGATGAGCCCCAATCTGGGTAATACTGAGCTACACACACACACACACACACACACACACACACACACACACACACAGAGCCCCCTAGGGCCAGGGCTGAGCCAGGGAGAGAGAGAGTGCTGGGATAGCAGGGGGGTTTTTCTCACCCTGATGAATTCCTGCCCACCCATTAAGGTGCAGATAGAATACCCTCTCTCCCAGGAAGCTCTCCTACCCCTGCTATCCCAGCACTCTCTCTCTCCCTGGCTCAGCCCTGGCCCTAGGGGGCTCTGTGTGTGTGTGTGTGTGTGTGTGTGTGTGTGTGTGTGTGTGTGTGAGTGTGTGTGTGTGTAGCTCAGTATTACCCAGATTGGGGCTCATCAAGTGCAGGGATGGAACCGAGGCCTCTTACAGTCCTTGGCTTCATCCAACACAGAGAGAGCTGGGCAGTGGGGAGTGGCAGTTATTGTATTTAGTGAATCAGCAAACCATACCTTTAGCTTGGAATCTTTATTTGTGTAATCTGGTTTGGCAAACTCCTGTTCATCCTTCAAAACCCACTTCACATGCCCTTTCCTTACAAAAAGCCCGACCCAGGCAGCATTTACTGGGAAGAGAGCTGAAGGCCCCGCCTCCTGTGTTTCAGCCAGGATGCATGAGGCTGATGAAGACCTTTTTAAAAAATATATATATTTTATTGATTCTTTACAGAGAGAGAATCGTCAACTAGCTGCCTCTTGCACATCCCCAGGGGATGTACCTGAAACCAAGGCACATGCCCTTGACCAGAATCAAACCTGGGACGTTTCATTCTGCAGGCCTACGCTCCATTCACTGAGCCAAACCGGTTTTGGCTGAGAAATGGATTTGGCAGGCTTCCCCAGATAGAATCACATCATTATAAGAAGAACATCGATTTCCAAAGCCATTGCTCTATACCTGCGGGCACCAAAGGACAGCGTCCCACATACCGCCCACAGTTGTTTTTAGGTGCCCGCCCTAACCCAATCGCGGGGCGCGAGCCCTTTAAGAGGCGGGCCCTCGGGGGCGGGGCTCAGTCAAACCCGCCCCGGGAGCGACGGCGCCGCCGCAGCCTCAGTGCTTCTGCGCGGTCTCCGCGCGGTTCCGGGGTCCGGGTTTTTTTGTTATTTTTCCCCCAAAGAAACAGCCTTGGAGCCGGAGCGACCGCCCCCCACAAAAACCCACAGGACACCTGGCCTCGGGTCATTGGCAAAATCCCCAATTTTTCCGGCAAAGGGCTGATCGAGGCGACATTTAGGGCTGGGAAGGGTGGGGAGGTGACGGCTCAGGTCCGGGGCTGCCGGCGAGGACGTTCCAGCTCAGAGGCGTGGACTCGGTCTCGCTATTGCGGCTGGGCTGGCGCCGGGATTCGAACCCGTGCTGCTGAGCCCAACTTCGAACTCTGAGGACTTGTGGAGCTAAGATGGCCCAGTCCTTGGTTTGTGCAGACACCGTGAGCAGGTGAGGGAGGCCCTGAGGAGGTGGCGGCGGGCCGTAGTGGCACCGTCCTCTGCTTGGGGTTGAACTCTCTTTGGATGGAGCATGGGGCTTGTGAAGCCGGTGGCGAGGAGGGGTGGGCTGGCGGGGGCTGGGCCCTCAGTGCTGGATCCAGCCCCTCTCCTCGCCCTGATTCTGGTGCCTCCAGGGTGAGTTCGGTTCTGAATCGCAACACCCGGCAGTTTGGAAAGAAGCACCTGTTCGACCAGGACGAGGAGACGTGCTGGAACTCGGACCAGGTGAGCTCCCCCACCCCTTATGGGAATCAGACTCAGGGGCCCAGGGTGCCTCCAGAACTCCAGGGCTCCACAGGTGGGCTTAGTCGGGTTGGCCAACACGTGCTGAATCCTGCCCCCACGCTTCCAGGGCCCCTCCCAGTGGGTGATACTGGAGTTTCCCCGGCGCGTCCGTGTCTCCCAGCTGCAGATCCAGTTCCAGGGGGGCTTTTCCAGTCGCCGGGGCTGCCTAGAAGGTACTGGAAGGCCCTGGAAGAGGGGGAGAAGGGGTCGGAGGGGACACCCTGGCCTCACAGTCTGCCTCTTTCCCTGCTGCAGGTTCTCAGAGGAGTGAGGCTCTCGGTAAGATTGTGGACTTCTACCCTGAAGACAACAACTCCATTCAGATATCCTACCCTGGCCTCTGGGTGGGGGTGGTCTGTGCCTCTAAAAGCTGCCGGCTGTGTGTGGCCTCTAGGCCTGCATTCCTTCATCTGTGAAACGGGCCGATGGTAATGTTGTGTGTGTCTCAGGGACCTACAGCCCGTCTGACCCGGACTGGGTAGGTGGGGGCTGCAGACAGTTAAACGGTAAGCTGTTTCCCTTGACTGCGGTGCTCACACCTTTCCCGTACCGGCTGCGGAAGTGGACCAGCTGAAGGTAACGTTTGAGGACCCCGCGGACTTTTTTGGCCGAGTGGTCATCTACCACCTGCGAGTGCTGGGGGAGAAGGCGTGAGGCCGCTGGGCAGCGCCTCCTCCCGGAGACCCTCAGGAAGCACAGCCCAGTCCTGCGAGTTCTGCACGGCTTTATTGGTTTCTGCCGGGAAGCACCCCTCCCACCGTCTGTCTGTCCGTCCGGAGCTGCCTCTGAAGCCAGTGCTGGGTTCCCCCAACGCTGGGCCGACCGTCTTGTTCCCTGAGTGTCTGAGTCCCTGTGGGGAAGGCGGCCTTCACTCGGGGTCGTCGGGCACCAGGTTGTTCTGAAAGAGTCTGAGGATGTGGTTCTCGATCACCTGTTGCACTGGAAACGGGACCAGGAAAAGGTGGCCGTGAATGGGACTGGGCTGCAGAGAAACACGCCCACCTGCACCCGCCCTTCCCCGGGGTTACTGCCTTGAGAACAGCTACACCCTGCCCTCCGGGGGGCGAACAGGGCCCTCCCCACGTACAAAGGTAAATCCGCACGCCTCCCAGGGCACAGCTGGGAAGACTGAGGCCCCTATCGGCGACCAGAATTGAACCCGGGACCTTTCAGTCCGCAGGAGACTGAGGCCCCTATCCCAGGAACCTCAGTTTCCCCTAAGTTTATAAAAATGTTTTTGGAGGCATTTCAGAGTTATAAAAATACTCCTTACAAAACAAAATCGGTGAATTGTTATATGTATGAAAGGACAAGAAGGGCTATGGAGATTGATTTGTCCCACATGGAAGACTCCTTGAAGAAAGGAGGGGATATTTCCCAAACCATCAATCCCCTCCATGACCACAGAGGTTGGTTCTGTTAGAATCACCCCATTCCATGGGTGGGGAAGCAAATGGAGAAGTGAGGAGTCAAACTGGGGTCTCTACTTACACCCACTTCCTGCCTCAGTGAGTAGTCTCCACGGCCCTGGACACTCCCTCTGGGTGTCCTCACCCTGCCAGGCCTCTGCATGAGGTGTTTCTCTAGCCTGGACCATCCTCCCTCCCCCTGGGTCCCCAGGAAGCCCAATGTGACCCCCCATCCATCCTGAGGTGGGCCAGGCCTCTCGGTGCCAGAGTGTCCTCCATCATGACCTCAGTCACTGACACACATGGACCTCCACCTCCATATCATAAGGAGTCCCCTGAACTAGGCCTAGCACATGGCCCAAGCCAGGTACACAGTGGCCCTCAATGTTTGCTAATGTGAACATTCTTGTTGCCAGTATCCAAGAGGCAACCCCCATGTGCCCTCTCTGGTCACCCCACCTACGGCACCCTGTCCCTTCCCCATGTGTCTCAGGCTGACCTTTGCGGTATCCCAGAGCCACAGCGAGATCCATTGGGGTGTAGCCAGAGTCAGCTTCGGTGGTGAGGTCAGCTCCTCGGGCTACAAAGCAGAGCGGGCGCTGCAGGGGAGGACTGGGAGCCCAGAACGGGGCCTGGGACTCTGGAGAGGCAGTGACCCCCAAAGACAAAGCCCCAGGTCTGTTGGTTGTCCATGTGGCCTTGGACAAGAGACTGAGCTCTCCTGAGAATGTGGCCAACAGAACTCCCACCTCCAGGGTCCCTGAGACCAGACCCCTGTGGTATCCCACCACCTCCTGCCCCCTGATCGTTCAGTCCTTTGGGAAAAGCAGGCAAGATCCGTTGAAGCAGCGCTCTGACCCCTCCCTGGCCCTGAGGATTCCTGCAGTGCCAGCGAGGGCCCTTGGCCTCCCAAGGTCGGCCTCTACTCCCACTCACCCAGCAAGGCCTCCACGCACTTCACATGGTTCCCACGCACGGCATAGAGCAGTGGCGTCCCTCCATTCTGTCAGGGGCAGGGGCAACCAGCACTACCTTTACTGGATTCTCATACCGCCCAGCACCCTCCAGTTTAATGTGCTTCCTTCTCTCTCTCTCTCTTTTTGTTCTTTCTCTTAGCTCCTCCTTTGGGGCTCAGCTTAGATGTCCCTCTTCTAGGTGGCCCTCCCTGTCCTCCCTTGGCTGTGCAGATCACCAGCTACCTATGTGACTGTCATCACAGCATTATTCGCTACATCTCAGCTGAGTGTTTCTATATTGGCTCCTCTCTCCCTCCCTCCCGTCCCACCAAACCTAGGAGATCTGAGGCTTGGGGAGGAGTCCGTCTTGTGTTCTTAGCATCCAGAGCAGGCCTGGTACCCTGCAAGGAGCCCAGGGCCGGCATGCGGTGCCTCACCCAGTCGTAAATGTTGATGTCCACATCATGCTCCAGCAGCAGCACCACGATGTCTGTGTAGCCACCTGTGCTGGCCAGTGAGAGGGCGCTCTCCCGCTCCTTGGCCAGGATGTGGGGGTCGGCACCCTGGGGGGAGCAGAGAGAGAGTGGTGATGGGAGGAGTGGGAGATCCCCTGGAATCCTGTGGTCCCCATGGCGGCCACATCTAACGACATGGCACTGGCAGATTCAGCGGAGACTTGGCCGCCCTCAAGTCCCTGGAAGTCCCCAGCTGGGCAGGGACGCACCCATTCAAGCAAGAATCGGACGGTCTCTTTCTCTCCGAAGGCTGAGGCCCAGATGAGGGGGGTGAAGCCACGCTCGTCCGGCTTGTTGATGAGGTTGTCTCCTGGCAGGAGGGGTGGTACCACTGGGCTGCACCCCTGCCCCCTCTCCCAAAGCTGTGGGAGCGGGGATCAGGTGGGCAGCTGGGGTCAGATGGGGGGACATGTGTGGATACACACAAGTGGCCACGCTTGTACACAAGCATAGACATAGGCATGGACACTCACAGGTCACAACAACATCCATGCACACACCAGCACACAAGGTCAGACAAACACCTGGGTGTAAACACACACCTTTCCTCAGATGCTCCTTCAGCTGGCTCAGTTCTCCCTGGGCTGCAAGCTGGTGGATGGACAGGGCTGGGGCCAGAGAGAGGCAGTGTCCTCACTTGTCTCGTCCTTGCTTTGTGCCTCAGTTTAGCTTCTGTCCCAAGTTGCTCCTCTCAGCCCTGCCACCCCCCTCCCCCCTCCCCGTTAAGGACAGGGGCCACTCACAGTCCAGGGTGGCCGGCAAGGCAGAGACCTCATTCCCCCGCTGCCGGTTGGTGAGGGTCGTAGAGTGCTTTAGGGAGTTGCCTGTTAGAGAGAGGAAGGGTTCTGGGGCTTCAAGCTAGACCCTGGGGGTTTAGAGCCACCAAAGACACTGCATGACTCTCTCTTCCACTCCACTGATGCAAGTGGAGCTGAGCCCTGAGAAGCTGGAAGCTACAGGACCCACTGGCCAATCTGGGGATGTCTCATAGACATCAATGGGTCATCTGAAAACCTGAAGGATTTGGAGTTTGTTGCTCATCAGAAAAGGCAGTTCTCGGAGTACCCTGAGTGGGGTGCTGGGCCCTGCCTGTCATCAGAGATTTAAATAAGGTATGGGGCAAGGCCACCAGGTCTCCTGAGAGACTGGCAGTCATGACCTAGGTCCTTCTGAGTGATGGAAATGTTCTAGAATTAGAGATAGAGGTTGGGGTTACCTACCACTGTGAATGTACTTACTGCCACTAAATTATATGCAATTCTGGTTAAAATGGCAACTACTATGTTATGTGGATTTTAACATAATAAAAACAAATAAGCAACCCCTTGCTGGGTGGAGCAGGAAGACATGTATGCCCTAGGCGGTGAGACATAAAACAGAGGCTCCATCTAGGCCCTGACATCCCACAGCCCTTGCATCCCAGAGGCTGGTGCCCAGGGAGTACCTACCCTGAGGTGAAGAGGCGCCGGCATCTGGTTCAGGATTCCCAGGATCTGGGGTGCAGGGGAAGAGACTGAGCACCACTGTGTCTGAGCCATCCGGGGCCTCATCCCTGGGGTCCTCAGGTTCCCCAGATTCTGGGGTGGGAGGCTGCTGGGTCGGGCTGAGGTTCTCTGAAGGCTGGGTGCACTCCATGTGGGGAGCTAATGGAGGCACCTAAAGGGGAGAGATGACAATACTTAGGAACAATTCTTATGAAGTTAGGTACCAACTGCATAACTGGCCTTGCACAGTGAGGGTGGATAAACTCAGGCTCAGCAGGGAAATTAAATCACAGTCCAATTCCTTTTCAGGCCCCCTCTCCACCACCACCAGGACACGTCCAACAGTCATTGCTTAAAAGTGCTGGCTCTGGGGTCAACTATCTGGGTTGGAATCCTTCCACTTACAGGCTGTGAGAACTTGGGCACATGCCTTACCTACTCTGAACTTGTATCCAAATTAATAAAAAGGAGAAATGAGGTCTAAAAGAAGTCTTATCTGTACATAGCTAAGCAGGGGGCCTGAAACCGGCAGAGCTTAATAAATGTTCGCTGTGGTTATTTTTTTGGAGGGTGGTCCCCGGAATGACGGAGGGATCAAACAAAGATGTAATTGGTTCCATCCCGCCCGCCCCTCCAAGCCGATCCAGGACATTCACTCACCTTCCACGAACCTTCTCTGTCACCGCTCGCCGCAAGCCCAGATCCCCCAAAACTTGGAGGCCCAATTCACAAACTTTTCCCCTCCAATTGATGTAGCGGGACGCAAGCTGGAGCCTGGATGGTCAGCACACTGGCTTCTTCTGTCGGGACAGAAAGCAACTTGATACTCGACCACTACCCCCACCCCAGAGGCCCCCCACTGCGCCTGCGCACCCTGCCCCCCAAAAGTGCGGAAGGGCAGGAGCAGTAGGAGCTGCTTCTGGCCCTTTAAGGATTGGAGGGGCGTGGCTTCCGCTGGAGCCGGAGCCTCGCAATTGCTCCTGCGCCTCCTAGTCCCGCGGGGTCAGAGAAGTGGGCGGGGCCTCCAAAGGCTCGGCGGATCTCATTGCGCCTCTTAGAAGCCAATCGGCCCCAGTTTGGGGCGGGCAGGCGGGGCTTTCTCCCTCGAGGGCAAGGGGGCGGAAGCAGGCGGGGCGTCCAGGATTTAAAGGGGCGACTCCATTGTCGTCCCGGTCCTCAACCATGCTCCCTCTGGGACAGGTGCAGGGACTTGATTGCAGTGAGGTGCAAAGAGGCCGTTACTACGGTCCGAAGTGAGCGGTGTGTAGAGCGTTCCCCAATTCATCCGCCCCTGGAAAAGGGGGTTCTTCCCTTCCACAGGGTCCCTCCTGGAGCTTCAGGGGTCCGAGCCCCGTCCTCACCGCCTCCCGGTGTGCCCCCTTCCCCTGCCCCTCACTCACGGCCTCCCTCCGGGTTAGGCAGAGACGGAGGAACGGAGAGGCAGGCAGTGGGCACTGGAATAGTGGCAGGGCCCAGCGCGGTTTCGCGGGGGAAGGTTTAGGGAGCTGTCACCGTCTCCAGACTTCCGGTTCCGGTTTTCAAGTAGAACGGGCCTCCGTCGCCATGGAGGAACCGGAGATGCAGCTCAAGGGGAAGAAAGGTAACGCGAGGCAGGCGCTGGGCTGTAGGAAGGGCCCAGGAGCTCGCGGAGGGGCATCTTGACAGGGGGTGCCGGACGGGGGGAAGACGGGGAGGGAGCGTGAGGGGCACCATTGAACCCTGGTCCGGCCTCTGACTAGTTTTGAAACTTTTAGGAAGTGCCCGTGCCTCGGTTTTGTCATTTGTAAAATGGGGAGTATAGCCCTCCTCCCTCCCTTCATAGGCTTGTGAGAACCCGAAGAACTGATGTTGGTAATGCCCTGGGAGAAAGCTGGGGCGTGGCAATCGTGCATATTGTTGCCTTATAGTTACGTATTTGTGTGTGTTTACACTGACTTACCATATATTTATAAGCACATAGTTACAAATTACAAAATGCCATACTTTCTAAATTATGAGTCTCTTGTTATTTTATCACACACGTTATGACTTTTTTTAAAAAAAATTTAAATTGATTTCGGAGAGGAAGGGAGAGATGAGAGAGAGAGAAACATCACTGATGTCCAGCCGGCATGGCTCAGTGGTTATAAATAAACTTCCAGGCACTTACAGACCCAGTGACCAGTGGATCCTTCTAGGAGGAATCTCAGATTTATTCACGGGGGTAAGAGGAATGCGAGGAGATCCGAGTGGGCAGCAGCCGTGTCCACTACACGTAGAATTGGGAGGGGAAAGATCATGAGTTCCCTGGATGCGTTGATAATATGAATGAGGCCATCTGTGACCGTGACCTTCAACCTCTCATCTGGGCCACCGGTGACCCAGCCTCTGGAGAGGACACCAGAGGCTCCTCACTGCTCTGGCTGGCCTCATAGGTTGAGCAATCAGGAGTCTTATGCTTTGTTTCTTTGTGTCTGTGTACCCTTTCTCCTGATTTTGCCTCCTTCCACTGTCAATTCTGGAACCAGTCACAGACAAGTTCACAGAGAGCGTCTACGTCCTGGCCAATGAGCCATCCGTGGCCCTCTACCGGCTCCAGGAGCACGTGCGCCGCTCTCTGCCGGAGCTGGCCCAGCATAAGGTGAGCCCCACGCACCCCTGCCGCACCCCCTGCAGGACTGATTCACACTGGACATGTGAGGACATGGCGGGGGGGACCTGCTGGTGGAGCAGGGGAGGGGCTCTTGGGATGAGTCAAGGCTGGAACACAAGCAAGGAGGCCTGTGGTCCCTGAGGTTGGGGCTGTGGGTGGACAGATGTGGGGCATTGGAAGAAGGAGCAGCAGGCCTAGATCAGTTGTGACCTGAATGGTGTGAAGACTAGAGGGAAGAGCCTGCCAGGGAGAGGGAAGAGCTGATGCAAAGACATAGTAGCTGAAAGCCTGGACCCGTGAGGGAAGAGTTGGAGGAAGAAAGGTTGGGGGCGGGAGGGGGCCAGTCTCTGCAGCCATGGTGATGGGGTGCTGCATCCCAGAGAGCTGGGATGACAGAGGAGGCAGCCTCGCCCTGCCTCATAGCCCTCACCCTGCAACCCCCACAGGCCGACATGCAGCGGTGGGAGGAGCAGAGCCAGGGAGCCATCTACACAGTGGAGTACGCCTGCAGGTGAGCACCTCAGCCTCCCCATTGCCAGCATCACCTCGCTGTGCATGGGGGTCACCGCCTGGGCATTCGGGACCATCTCCGCCAGCTCCCTGGTGAGCCCTGTCTTGAAACCCACCTGAGGGGGGAGGCTTGTGGGTCTCAGTTTCCCCAGGTTCCAGCCTAGGCCTGTGCTTCCCACTATTTGCTCAGCCTCTGTGTGCCTGGGGCAGGCTTCCTCCCAGCTCTGATGCCCTCCCTGTCTATCATAGGAGGGTGTAACAAGGTTGGGGAAACATAACATTTGTCATCTTAACCACTTCTAAGTACTAGTTCAGCGGCATTACGTACATTCACATTGTTATACAACCGTCACCTTCCATCTCCAGAACTTTTCATCTTATACAACTGAAAGTCTGTTTCCTTTAAACACTAACTCCCATCCCTGCTCCCCCAGCCCCTGGCACCCACCGCTCTGTCTTCTGTTTCTCTAATGTGACTTCCCTAGGGACCTCACATGAATGGAGTCATACAGTATTTGTCTTTTTGGGTCTGTCTTCCTTCATTTATAGCAAACACATCAAACTCATGGCCGGTGGGCTGGCGGCAGCGAGTTTGACATGCTTGATTTAGAGTAATGTCCTCAAGGCTCATCCATGTTAGAGTATGTGTTGGAATTTTCTTCCTCTTTAAGGCTGGGTAAAATTCCACATTTTGTTTATCCATTCATTTGTCAGTGGGCATTTGGGTTGCTTCCATGGTTTGTTGTTTGTTTGTTTTGCCTTTTGGTTTTTTTTCTTTATTGATTAAGGTGTTACATATAGGTCCTTATTCCCACATTGCCCTCCCCCGCCCCCCATTCATGCCCTCAACCCCTGGTGTCTGTGTCCATTGGTTAGGCTTATATGCATGCATACAAGTCTTTGGTTGAGCTCTCCCCTGTACCACCACCCTCCCCTAGTACCTAGTTTTTTTATTTTTATTTTTTACTCATCAGGAGATATTTTTTCCATTGTTCTTTAGAGAGAGAATGGAAGGGAGAGAGGAGAGAGAGAGAGAAAGAAAGAGCTAAACAAGCATCGATGTGAGACACGACGACTGGTTACCTCCCACGCTTGCTCCAAAGGAGTCCGGGGATGGATCCAGTAACTGGGGTACATGCCCTTGAACAGGAATTGAGCCTGTGATGTTTGGGTCCACAGGCTGATGCTCTAACCACTGAGCAAATGGTCAGTGCTGTTGTCTTTCTTTTTTAAAATCTTTACCTGAGGATATATTTACTGCTTTTATAGAGAGAGAAACACCAATTTGAAAAGCACATTGGTTGCCTCTCAACTGGGGACTGAATCCCGAAACCAGGGCATGTGCCCTCATCAAGAATTAAACCCATGACCCTCAGGTAATGGGATGATGCTCCAGCCAATGGAGTGTTCTGGCCAGGGCTGGGCTGCTTCCATGTTTTAGCTATTGTGAATAATACTGCTGTAATGTGAATGTGCCATTTGTGTTTTTTTGTTTTGTTGTGTGTGTGTGTGTGTGTGTGTGTGTGTGTGTGTGTTTAAAATATATTTTTATTGATTTCTGAGAGGAAGGGAGAGGGAGAAACATCAGTGATGAGAGAATCATTGACCGGCTACCTCTTGCGTACCCCCAACTGGAGATCGAGCCCACAACCTAGGCATGTACCCTTGACCAGAATTGAACCTGGGACCCTTCAGTTCGCAGTCCGATGCTCTGTCTACGGAGCAAGCCAGCTAGAACTGTTTTTTGGTGTTTAAATTTTCTCTAAATCTTCAGATTGTCTCCTCTGCCCTAGGAGAAAGATGCCTGAGGGTGAAAAACTGCATTTGGTGGATTTTTTTTTTGGCGTTAATGGCAGCTCTGCTGGCCTTTTCTCCTGCACTTCTGTTGGTTTCTGGAACTGTATTTAATGCCTTGGCTTGTTCCATTTGCCTCAGTAGTTTGCCTGGCATGGCCTGTGGGTCATTTGGTGGAGGCTGGACACTCCCAACCTTTCTCGTCTGTGGCACTGTTGGGTTTGCGTGCCTGTTTGTGCTATGTGGGTGAAGGTTCCTTGAAAGGAAGTCCTGCTATTGGGGCCACCGAGCTGAGTGTTCTGCCATCAGCAGTCTTAGCCCCTCCACTGGGGCAGGGGGTGACCGGGACAAATGGCATCTTCCTGACGATGGTGGTCTATGGCTTTATGGACATGAAGGAGCCTTTGGCTTTTATTTATTTATTTTTAAAATATGTTTTTATTGATTTTAGAAAGAGAGAGGGAAAGGGAGAGAGAAAGAGAGATAAACATTGACTGGTTGCCTCCCGTATGCACCCAGACCAGAGATTGAAACTGCAGCCTGGTCGTCTGCCCTGACTGGGAATTGAACCACCAACCTTTCAGGGCATGGGACGATGCTCAATCAACTGAGCCACACTGGTGGGGTGAGCCCTTGGCTTTTAGTTTTTTGAAATGCTTTATGCAGGGTTAATGGTTGGTGTAAAATTGAAAGATGTTAAATTGGGGTAAACTATTTAATAGTGAGTTTATGTTAGTGAAGTTTTTTTCTTTTTTCATTTCTTTAAGTTCTTGTTTTATTAGTGAGTTTTTAAATCAAGTTGGGTAATCAACTACTAGAAAAGCTGACTGCACTTGGTGGCATAAGATGAACAAGTTAACAGAGTGGGTAGCAGTGAACGCTCCTCCCTCTGATCTTGTGGCCATTTTCAAGCAGGTCTCTGATAATAATTGGAAGTGATTTTTTTTTTTTTCTTTCACAAAAGGAAACCACACTTTTAGCTCTGGTCAGTGTGGCTCAGCAGTTGGAGTGTCAGCCCTTGGAATGAAGGGTTGGGGGTTCAATTCCTGGGCAAGGACAATATCTGGGTTGTGGGTTCCTGGTCTGGTCTCCATGTGTATGGGAAGCAACTGATCAATGGGTCTCTCTCACATCCATCTTTCTCTCTCTCTCCCCTGCCCCCTTCTACTCTCTCTAAATATCAATGGAAAAAATATTCTCAGGTAAGGATTAACAACAAACAAAACCACACAATAGGACACTGTTTACTGCAGATGTCGCACAGGTGACTTTCTGGCATTCGCAAGACCCTTGTGTCTTGGCAGGGATATCTAAACATTGAGCTCCTGACGAGCCCTCAAGAGGCCCAGAGTCCCCCAGGTATCTGCTGAGCTCCAGTTGGTGGGTGCGGCAGGGTGGTGCCTACTGCGTCTGTCTTCCCATTATAGTGCCGTGAAGAACCTTGTGGACAGCAGTGTCTACTTCCGCAGCGTGGAGGGCCTCCTCAAACAGGCCATCAGCATCCGGGACCACATGAATGCCACCCAGAGCCACAGGTAGCTCCCAGCACCACCCGCCTCTGCTGTTCTCCGCCTCCTTGCCGGAAGGACCTTTGCTGCTCAGCCAGGAACTGCCGCCATCGCTCCTCTGACAGCTTCCTTTCCGCATCTCACAATGCTGCTGGCTTCCTCTTGTCCTTTGGTGTCTGTGGCAGGAGACTTCAGTCACTCAGTCCCCAGATCCTGAGCTCTGCTGTGTGCCTGGTCCTGGGCTGGGAGCTGGGGACAGAGAGGTGACCAGGACAGGTCTCACAGGGAGGCGCACAGCAGCCAGGCACACACGGAACGGACCAGAACACTTCAGAAACGTGCAGAGGAAACTTGGGGCTCTCTGATGAGGCAGAGGAAGTGGGAGCGGAGGCCTGGCAGATTGGCTGACAGAAATGACTGGGGGTGATGCTGGTGAGGACAGAGGCCCTGGGGCTGGGGAACTGGGTGTTGGAAGAGCATCTAGAGGATGGGTGTGGCCGGAGCAGGTGAGCGAGGGGGAGACGGGGTCAGGGAGGTGGGCAGCCAGCAGGAGGCTGCCCAGAGCTGAGGAGGCTTTCGCTGAAGTCAGATGGCATACAAATGAAAAGCACTCACAGCCCGTGCACACCGGGGAGAGAGTTTGGGGGAAGGAGTTTTTTGTTTTTCATAACTTAATAAATATGCATTTGAACACACACACATGCTGTAAGCCATAATTCTACTTTGAGATGTATCTGGCTCCCGTAGTTTGGGGTTCTGGCCTGCCTGTCTCCCACCAGATATTTAGGGAAAAAACCCACAAACCTCTGTGCTGCTGTGTCGGATAACTGAAACATGAGACATTCAAACAAAAGCCTTGTGAATGTGTAAAGCAGTGTGCAGCCATCCTTCTGAGGCAGCATGCTGGGCTTTACCTTGGTGTGCTGTTCTGCTGCTATTGGTGACAGCCATCACTGGAGTCGACTCTGTAAAGTGCCTTGCACAGCGCCCTGCACTCAGTAGGGCCTCAGAAAGCTAGAGCTTTTCCTTTGAACTCAATGCCCCGCTTGTCCTTGCTGTCGTGAAAATGCAAAGTGCTTTTCTGAAAGCCTCAAGCCGCTGCTGACATCTCTCTTTGCAAAGCCCTGTGGGTTCCAAGTTCTCAGACATGCATGAGTCCCAGCCATGAACTCTGCAGTAGGTGGCTGGTCCCATTTGTACCAAGGACGCCCTGAAGGCTCAGGCCAGGGGTCTTGGGAGGGTGACCCTGTGCACAGTCCAGCCTGGCTGAGCAGGCCTACTGGCCTCAGACTTGGTCTCACGGATACCGCACATGTTCTATTCCAGCCCCGAGGAGTTACCCCCACCCCCCTCGGCCTGATCCCGGAAGAGACTTGGAGGTACTTTGGCCCCTCCAACCAGGTCAGTGCTGAGTGGGACGAGGAGCCTCCTGTCTTCCGCCTTCTGAACTAACCCACCCTTTTGTTGTCCAAGAAGGGATCTGCCATCTAATCACTTGCCTCTGACATGCTGTGTGGTACGGGCCTTGTAGGATGGTTTAGTCAGGGATGGGGGGTTGGGTTGGGGGGCGGGATGCAGAGTGAGGGAGACCTAGTGCTTTCAGCCCAACTCCCTCGTCCTCCCTCTGCCATCTTCTTGCCCTTATTCAGGTCATAAGCCCTATCCTGATCCCAAGGACCCCTCCTAAACAGAGTGGATCCCATATGTCCCTGCCTACCTCATGCCAGCTGCTTGCCTTACTTACGTACCTTCTCTCAGACAGAGCTCGGCATGGCGATCCCACCCAACTCTGGACTCCACTCCACCACTGACCTGCTGTGTGACCTGAGCAAGTTCCTCCCCCTCTCTGGTCTCTGCTTTTATCTTCTTGGAAGTGACTCATCAGGTGGCGGAGGTGGCAGTTTTCCCGCTCCTGCCCGTAACCCCCAGGCCAGCCGTAATGTCCCGAGACAAGGCTTCGCTGCCCGGGGATTCCTATCCCGCATCAGCCATGTTTCCTTGAACCAGTAACTGCCACCGTGTTAGTCCCATTGGTTACACTGTGCTGGGGGCTCTGTAACGGTCATCTTTCCTCCTCAGACAGCCCTCAAATACAGGTGTGACTTGTGCAAGGTCACACAGCTAGAGGAGACCAGACCCCTGCCTGGTTTGGCCCCAGCCTTGCCTCTGACACGCTGTGTGACGGGGCCTAGAACTGACCCTCTCTGGCCTCCCTTTCTCCATCTGGACAAGGAAGGCTGGACTGGACCTTTTCTACAGCCGAGGTGGACCTTTGTGTACTTGCTTGCCTGGCCGGCATTCTGCCACAAGGGGATACACCCATCCTGGGCGTAGGCCAGATGGAGAAGTCACTTGGGAACCCTGAGACTAAATTACTGTATTTGCCAAAATTGCTTTGACTTTTTCCGCTAACTGCAGAGCCTATACTGATCTCTTCGAAATCTAAGCTTAGGAGGTCATGACCCATAGTCTGTACACCTCCAAGGCCAGCTGTGTCAGCACAGTGTCCAGCAAAATGTATCAGGAAGATTCATCAGGCCCACTGCCCTGGGAGGACCCTCCATAGTTCCCTTGGCACTGTGGGTGGCTGGGAGAGAAGGGTGGCAAGGGCCAGGGGCAACCCAGGGGAGAAACAGAGGGTCCTGGTTGGTATAGGGCTGTGGAGGAGCCTGAGGGCCTGGAGAGGGTTTAAGGCCACAGGAGATGTCAAGTACTACCTCCACTGCCAGGAAACGGGAGTTGGTCCTCTCTCCCCTCCTAGAGTATATTAGGGGGCCTCTATTCTGCCTCCCACCCACCAACTTAGTTTGAGGGGAAGGATGAACCTCAGGTCCAACGCATTGAGGCCCTGACTAGCGTGTGGCCTCCACAGCATCCCTCTTCTTGCCTGCTCTGAAAGTGCCTCTAATTGTCCCTCCTTCTACCTGTCCACCATGCAACCGTTTATCCAGCAAATATTGACTGTCCCCTCTGCGCCAGGCCCTGCCGGCCCCGGGGATGCCCTGGTGAGCAAGACAGGCCGCTAAGTGAGGTAACTGCACATATCCCAAGGGTGCTGTGAGGTAGTAGGAGACAGGTGTGGGGTGCCCCAGACCTGGAATTTCCAGGGTTCCCCGCCACCCACAGCCCCAGGACACAACCTTAGCCTGAGACTAATAGACCTCACAAAGAGGTCTGTGCAGGATTCTGGCAAAGGCCCACAGGGAAGGAGTGGGGGCTGGTAATTTGCATCTTATTTACATGGCCGCTTCACCTTTCACACCCACGAACGCCCCTTAACAGTTGGCCGCCAGGGGGCGCAAGAGGCAAAGGCTTGGCTGGGCACTCGGCCTCTAAAAGGTCATTGTCCTCATTCCTGGCTGATTGCAGTGGGAGCATCATGAACCTTCCCCTCTTCCCTGGCCCACCCCTCTCCCCCCACGTCCTCGATTCCATTTTTCAGAGAGCGAACTAAGGCTCCTTGAGGCTGGACTACTCAGCAGGATCCCGCATCAACCCCCAAGCGCTCCTGATCTTCCCTTCTCCTGGTATGGCGTTCCTGCTCAGTGGGACTTGCTTCCAGCAGAACCCCAGAGACAGGACAGCTGGGAGAGAGGCAGTGAGCTCCCCCTGCCTTGGGGCAGGAGTGTAGCATCCATGAGGGTGATCTGGAAGGGATCCCAGCCCTGGTGATGAAGTGTGGCTTCTCCACCCAGCTCATTCCCACCCCATGCGAGGCTCCTTCAGACCTGCAGGTGGGATAAAAGGCCCAGGAAGCCAGCACTGCCCCAGGTTGGTGTGCAGTGGTCAAGGCAGGAATCAGAATTGAGTTTGGTTTTTAGTCCTTATCGCCTGGTTTTATTTCAGCCCTGCTCTAAGGGTCCTGCCCCTGGGAAGTCCCTTCCTAGCCTTGCCATATCCCCCATGAGGCCTCTGGGTGCCCCAAACTTGGTCTCCACGTCCCTCTACCACTCATACCCTCTCCCGGGCGCTCCAGTTGTGTAAGAAACCCATGGAGACACCCTTTGGTGCTGCTACATACTGGGCCTGGCGGAGGAACCCCTGGGCTGGGGAGACAGAGCTGGACGTTTATCCCAAAACCGCTGGGTCAGCACTGGACTGGAGGGAGGGCTGGGGGCGGGAGAATCCTAACTGGGAGGGGGATATGGGATGCTTTTGGGGGAGTGGAAGGTAAGCCTTAAAAGGTTCTCCCCAGAAGGAGAGGCCGCTATTGCCCCCACTTTTCATATGAACAAACAAGCTCAAAAGGGTGGTGTGACGGCGTGAAGTCACTCCGTGAGAGGACATTGGAGCTGGATGGGGACAGGGTCCTTTCACCTGAGGTTCTGTCTGCCAGGCCACACTGTCCCTGCCATGGAGACTCCTCTGCAGCCCTGCCCGCTGCCACGGGGGAGAGGATCTGGAAAAAGGGACCTGGAGGAAGTGGCTCTGCCACCTCACCACCCTCCCACCTCATCTCCCCCATCTGCAGGCCCCCTTCTCAGATCCCTCATCTCTGGCCCTTTCCACCCCCAAACCACCCCTTTATCCTCCAACGTCTTACTCCCCTCTTACTCCCCTTACCAGACTGAGGTAAAAATTTTTCACCCTAACCGGATTGGCTCAGTGGATAGAGCGTCGTCCTACGGACTGAAAGGTCACAGGTTCGATTCCGGTCAAGGGCATGTACCCTGGTTGTGGGCACATCCCCAGTAGGAGGTGTGCACGAGGCAGCTGATTGATGTTTCTCTCTCATAGATGTTTCTAACTCTCTATTCCTCTCTAAAAAATCAATAAAAAATATTTTTAAAAGATTTTTTGACTGTCCCACCCTGGCTGGTTTGGCTCAGTGAATAGAGTGTTGAAAGGTCCTGGGTTTGATTCTGGTCAAGGGCACATGTCCAGTTTATGAGCTCAATCCCTAGGAGGGACTGAGAAGAAGGCAGCCCGTCGATGACTCTCATCACTGATGTTACTATCTCTCCTCTCCCTTCCTCTCTGAAACCAATATATATACGTATATTTAACCATATTAAAAATTTTTTTGACTGTCCCAATGTGGAACGGGGGTCCACAAAGAGTGGCACAGCCAGTGGTGGGAGAGTATAGGATAGGAACAGGGCAAGAGACAAAAGGAAGGGCCGTTATAGGAAATAGGGTGTGAGTGGCAGAAGATGCAGTGGGGCCAGGAACACAGGAGGGAGCCTCGATGGGGGGAGAGGGCAGAGGTAGGTGGGTGTACGGGGCAGCCCCAGCCAACTCAGCTCAAGCCCGCCCTCCTGCCATGCCCCAGCTGCTCCCAGAGCTGCTCCAGCTGCTGCCCTTATGTAACCAGAGCCTGCCTGTTGCATCAGAGATGGCAGGCCGCAGCAGGTAAACAGAGCGGCCCTCAGGGGGCCTGGGCTCCCCAGCCACCTCCACGATCCCCAAGCCTGGTTCTGCACCTTGGAGTTGAGGCAGAAGCCCCCAGACTGGCCTGGGCCCTGGTGTGTTCTTGGAACACATGCGTGTCTGGCATTGGGCTCTGAGGGCGGTGGTGGCAGGGGTAGGGAGGCAGGAACCTTGATGCCCACCTTTTGGCACAGTGTGAACCCTAGATTTTATGTCCAAAGAGGAATATGTGCCCAGGCTGGGCTCTAAACCTCTCATGTCACAGATGGGTAAACTGAGGCATGGAATGTAGCTCAGCCTGTTCCCTGCCTTCGCGTCCTCCACATGATGTCTCCACGTGCTCACCCTGGAGTCCAGGGGTGCAGCCATCCCCTGTTGTCTTCTGAGAAGGTGGACACCAGGCAGCCATGTAACCCCCCTGCACCCCACTTCATCTGCCCTAAATTGACCACCTCCTCTGCATTGCTCAGCCTCTCTGGGGCTCCCAATCTCATCTACTCTGCTCTGGCTTCACCTTTCTTATCTCACCAGCAAAAATCACTGCACTCCTCCTTTGCGCATTGACAAGGGCTTCTGCCTCTCGGAAGGCCCTTCTCCCCGTGGTAGACTACTACTCGAGCTTCAAGGCCCAGAAAAATGCCCCCTCTTCTGGGAAGCGCTTCCTGAGACCTAACCCCCAGGGGCTGGGGGAGTGTGTGGTGGCTGCTCTGCCTCCTCCAGACTGGGGGCGTCTTCAGGATTCCCCAGTCCAACCTTATCTTCATCCTGTAATTCTTTTCACACTGATTCCCTCACCCCTCTGGGCCTGGCCCTGTGCTGAGCAGTGCTAGGATCCTAGGACAGATGTGGGTTGAGAGGTCTGAGCTGGTGCCCAGTCTTGGAGGAAGGTACCCAGCAGCCGAGGGGGTCTGTCACTCTCCTGTAGGTGGGTGGGCCACACAGGTGATTCTGCAGTCCCTCCATTTGGGTGAGATCAAGGGCAGTGTTGGCTTTGAGAAGGACTCAGTCTCTGGAGCCATCAGGGGCAGAGTTATATTTCACCCAGGATGGAGGATATTCTGTGTTGAGATTGGCAGTTGTCAGAGTTGATCCAAATGAGGGTCAGGATCCCAGGAGGGTCAGGGTGGGCCAGTGCGAGCGAGCCGGGAAAGTCTGGCAGGGTCTAAGCCAACCCCTTCCTGTCCCTCTCCCTCATTATAAGCATCTTCAGTGTCTCTCTTAGTCTGAGACCCCGCCTCCTGAGATTCCGAGGCGGGGCCATGCCCAAGTGCCCGCCCTCTATGCAAATGATTCATCCCGTCCAATCAGCTCCCGGGGGCGGGGCCGCGGCTCGGAAGGCACCTGTGGCCGCGGGACGCTGGTCACTCTGTGCCGCCGCTGCAGATCCGTGCACACGCGCCCGAGGGTCCAGGCGAAGCAGGTGCGTGGGGCATCCGGACGAGGCTTGTCCACACGAGGCTCGTGCAGCGTCCTCTGTCATCCGTGGGCTGGGCTGGGCTGGGCTGGGTTTGGAGGTCTGAGTGTGCTGCTGTGCTTTGAAAGTTGTGTGTCTAAGAGGTGAGTCCTAGGATTGTGAGTTCAGGGGTTGTGTGTCCGAGCGGTGTGGATCTGAGGGGTGTGAGCCTAAGGGGTAGATTGTGTCAGAGGGGTTATGAGTGCTAGGGTTGCATTTCTGAGAAGTTGTGTGTCTGAGGGTTTTGATGTCAGTTGGGGAGGAATTGTGTGTCCAAAGTTGTGGTGCCACAGCCCCTGCTGTGTGTGCCTGTGATCAGTTTCTGGTCTGTGGGCTGTAGTGTCCTCCTCTCCTGAAGCGCACCCCTTCTCGTACCATTGAAGCTCCTGTGCATAACCCCGTGCCTTCCTGCTGTACATGTACCTTCATGTGTCATGGCCTCAGACACGCATGTGGCGTGACCATCTCTATGTGCCTGTGGCTGCTATGACCCTCCCTGCCCCATGCTTTCTTTGCCTCATGCAACAAATGTGGGGCCTCTGTTGGACTCACAGAGTACCCATGTGGTGGGCATAGGGCCCTGGGGTGGTGCATCACAGCTGCCTTGAAGGGGGGCTACCACCTTCCCTGCCCCTCAGTGTCCCCCTCTGGTACACGGGTACAGGAATAGTGCTCACATGACAAACTGGTGGCTATTACGTTCATGGTCATGGTTCCCCTTCCCTCCTTTCTCAGAGTCCAAAGCTGCAGATGTTGGTCGGTGACTGGGGTCCCTGGCCACCCCCAGGCCTCAGCTATACACCCGAGAAGTCAGAAATATGCCTGGCTACGGCAGTTCAGTGATTGAGCGTCGACCTGTGAACCAGGAGGTCATGGTTAGATGCCCGGCAGGGCACATGCCCGGGTTGTGGGCTCGATCCCCAGTGGGGCACATGCAGGAGGCAGCGGATCAGAGATTCCCCCTCATCATTGATGTTCCCAGCTCTCTTCCTCTCCCTTCCTCTCTGAAATCAATTTTTTAAAAAACAGGTTTATAGAAATAGCTGAGGCCTCCGGCCTCGCCTGATGGAAAAATCCTCATTGGGGACTATCTGGACCTTCGGCGTCTGGGTACAAGGACTCTTTTGGGGCGAAGGAACTAGGTGCACGGAAGTATTTAGACGTGGGAGGATTGGTGTGTGGGGTTTGAAGTCAGCCTCCCTCGCTCCTGTCCCGTGCCTGCCTCCCACCACCCGTCTGAGCTGAGGAGTGAATCTTGGCTTCCGGGGAATGAAATTCCCAGAGCTGGAAGCTGACTCTCTGGTCTGAAAGTCCCACTTTGCAGGAGGGAAGACTGAGGCCAGGTACAGACACGCAGGCACTTCAGAGAAAGGAGGGAGCACAAGATCTCCCCCCCCCTCCCCCAGCCCTCTGAGAGAGCAGAAGCCAGGCGCTCCGGCTCTCTGCATGGTCTCGGACAGGTTGCTGCCCCCCCGCTGAGCTCCGTGGCCACCCCATGACCTGAGCAAGTTGCGCTCCATCTTCCTTCCCATCTCCAACTAATGATGTATTTCATTAAATCACTACCCAACCACGCAGACATCTGGAAAATGCAAATTAAGAGGAGAAAGGGAATTAAAATCATTTCTCGCCCAACTCAGATGCAATGAACGTAGACATGTTGGAGGTTTGGCCTTCCGGAAGATTTGAGGCACGTGCACCTGGAGACAGATGTTATTTTTGGAAAGGATTTCTCATAGGCCTGGGATACCATTCGAGTGAGAGAGCTCACCCCAGCCCCGGCCCCTTAATGCCCATGGGGTACACACTCAGTTTGCGTCCCATTTCTTTTCTTTTTTCTTTTTCCTTTTTTTTTTTTTTTTAATATATTTTATTGATTTTGTACAGATAGGAAGGGAGAGAGATAAAGAGTTAGAAACATCGATGAGAGAGAGTCATCGATCAGCTGCCTCTTGCACACCCCCTACTGGGGATGTGCTCGCAACCAAGGTACATGCCCTTGACCGGAATCGAACCCGGGACCCTTCAGTCCCCAAGCCAACGCTCTATCCGCTGAGCCAAACCGGTTTCAGCTGCGTCCCATTTCTGATCCCCTAAAGTAGGGGTGTCGAACTCAATCAGAGAAGGGGCCAAAATCTAAAATCCAGCCTACATCTCGGGCCGAATGGTTTACTGAACAGTCATAAACTGTCATTGTGATGGAAACGCAGCGGAGTGCAGTGATGACAGCGCGGTGCGGGCCACATTGCAAGGCCTGGCGGGACGGATTTGGCCCGCGGGCCTTGTGTCTGACACATGTGCCCTAAAGGGTCTCTCTGGGCACACATAACCTGGGACTTGTGAGGTTGCCCGTCATCCCCAGGCTCTGGAACAGGTGCTTGGACCACATGGTACCCAGGCCCACTTCCCGGACGGGGTGGCCACAGGACCGCCCTGGGGGGCAAGCCCAGGCTTGCGTAGGGACCTGTGTCTGTGTGCGCACGCATGTGTATGTGTCAATGTGTGGCCTGGGAAGAAGCCCCCTCATCCTGTGTAAGACGGGCGCTGTCTCGCTCCACTGGGCTGCCGGTGGGTCAGGTAGGCCCTGTGTGTAAATGAGGTGGCGCGTGGGCCCAGGCCCGAGGTGACACCCGAACTGTGACCAAGCGGAGGTGCCTGTGAGCCCCGTCCAGGTGCATCTCGCCCCACCCTCCATCAGGGGCCAAGGAGGCCTCAGGTCCATTGGCTTCCCTGCTCGGCTCTGCAGGCTCAGGTTCACCCAAGGCCAAGGTGAGGACCTTGGAAGGGAGAGCATGGAGGCTGTTTGGCCTAAGGAGCCACTTCTGTGGGCACAGGACTACCTTGTCCACTTTCCACACCCGCAGCCCCCACTGCCTCCTGACGGGCGCTGTCCCAACCTCCTGCCCAGACGAGACGTCTCCCTCCTGCAGGCACTGGTTCTGCTGAAAATCCTGAGTCAGACCCGGCCCTCCCCTGCTCACGTGCCCTTTATGGCTTCCCACTGCTCTATAGTCCACCCTCCCACCCTAATCCCCAGGCTCCTGGCAGTCTCCCTGCCCTCCTTGGTCTCCCCTCACCCTGTCCAGCCACACCGGCCTTCCCTTATATCTGGAACCCAGCATGCTCCCACCTCCGGGCCTTTGCATCTACCATTCCTCCCATCAGGCAGTCCCATGTGGCTGGTGTCCTCTCATCCTTGAGGCCCCTTTTCAGAAAAGCCCTCCGGCCCCTCTGTTAAAGCAGCTCCTTCCCCCTCCCCCTCCCACCTTCCTGTCTCCCCCTCTCCCTCCTCCTGCTTCTTCCCTCGGTTGAATTTCTCCCTTGAAGCCCTCTGACCCTGACACAATTATACGTCTGTTGTTATCTCCCGTACAAGGCTAGGCAGTGAGGGAGGCCAGGCCGGGTCTGTCCTCTCCCTGCCCCTGTGTCCTGGCACCTGGGGGGCTCCCAGGCAGTTCTGGGGGAACAGTGGGGGACCAGAGAGGCCCCAAGGCCCCGTCTTGGAGTCTCTGCTGCCTGTGTCTTGAGTCTGTGGTGCTGTGGGCCGAGTCCCTTCTGCCCAGCACTGACAGATGTGCTAATTTCCCAAGCAGGGAGCGCGGGGCCTCTGGGGACACATTTCTGGGGCCCCTCGGGGAGATCTTTCTCTGGAACAAAGAGGGAAACCTTGGCCGTTCCTGCCGCTCCGATGTGGCTTCGGGGACCGTGCCGGGGGAGTTGGGCAGCCCCGGGCTCCAAGCCGCCTTGGACAGCAGGGCTGGGCTCTGGATGTTGTCTCCCTGGGCCCGGGAGTCAGGACCCCGAGTCTCCCGGGAGATTGGATGGGGCAGGGACTTCCGTTTGCATCGTCTGCGACAGAGGATCTGGGCTCTGTGGCAGGTGAGCACGTGCGGGTTGGATGGACCTGCATGTCCTCAGGACGTGGTTCGAGATGGCAGTGGGACTTCAGAGGGTCCGTCCCTCGGCCTGAGAGAAGCACAAACACCGTCTAGTTGGCTGTTGTGCTGTTGGCTCTTTAGAGGGCCGTTTCAAACTGGCGGCCTGTGGGCCGGGGGAGCCTCAGACGGACGTGTTTGGTGGGTCAGGAGGTACCAGGTGCCAATGTTTCTTCCGTTGTTTGTTCACTCACTTAGGAAGGGTGACTGTGGGCCTACTGTGTGCCAGGTGCTTATGAGACCATCCTGCACCTCACAGAGCAGACATCCTCACAGGGCGACATGATGATCAAATAAAACAACAGAAATATCCAGTAGGGCGAGCTGGTGTGGCTCAGTTGGTTGAGCATCGTCCCAAGCACTAAAAGGTCTCTGGTTCGATTCCCTGTCAGGGCACATACCTGGGTTGCTAGCTTGATTCCCAGTAGGGGGCTGTGCAGGAGGCAGATGATCGATGTTTCTCTCTGTCTCTCTCTCTCTCTGTCTCTCTCTCTCTCTCTCTCTCTCTTAAAAAAAAAAAAGTTTTTCAATAAAAACATTAAAAAACCCAGTAGGGCTGAGTGCTGCAGGGAGAGACGGGGACCCTGCCTGGGAAACCGGTGCTTCCAGAAACAGGAGTCTGGCTCAGCCTTGAAGGAGAGCTCCCGGACCGGGCACTCCGGGGGAGGGCGCAGCCTGGGCTCCGGGAGAGGGAAGCGCTGTCTGGGTTGGTGTGTCAGCCGCCTGGGAAGGGACAGAGGTGGTCTGGGAATTTGCCGGTACCTGAGGCCTCCCCAAAAGGAGGAACCAAGGGGAGGGGTGCAGAGCTCACAGGGGTGCAGAGCTCCCTCCACTGTACAAGCAGGGAAACTGAGTCTCAGTTCTGTCTGTGCAGCCAGGATTTTTTTTTTTAGGCTGGTCAAGTGAAACAGTGGGAGTGGAGAAGGGACAAAGAAATCTGTAACTGGCTGTGATCAATTAGTTGTAAGACACCACTGCACTCGGACCAGCCGGGAGCCAGGATTTTTAAAAAATATAGTTTTATTGATTTTAGAGAGGAAGGGAGAGGGGAAAGAGAGAGATGGAAACATCATTGATGAGAGAGAATCATTTATTAGCTGCTTCCTGCACAACCCCTACTGAGGACTGAACCTGCAACCCAAGCATGCGCCCCTGACCGGAATCAAACCCAGGACCCTTCACTCCCCAGGCCAACGCTCTATCCGCTGAGCCAAACCAGCTAGGGCTGGAGCTAGGATTTGAACCCTGGTCTGGCCAGGCCCCCAGCTGCAGCCCTGGCCCCTCAGCGCATAGCCATAATGGGCCCTCCCAGGAGCAGGCCTGGGGAGGGGGCTATAAAGGTGGGTCTGAAGATTCACCAACGGGCCTCAGTTTCCCCAAGGATGCCAGAGGGAGCTAGGAACAAAGGGACCCCCAAAGGGTCTCCTCCCGCTGGAACATTCTGGGTTTCTAGGACTCAGAGCTGCATGGGGTGACACACCCCACCCTCAAATCCCCGGTTCCCTTGGAGGGTGCTGACTCCTGCCTTGGGAAGCCAGAGGGTGGGTGACACCACTGGCGGGAAGGGCCCAGCCTGTGTCTGGGAGCTTCATGTCCTGGGGGTCAGCATGGAGTCTGCATCTGTTGGGGAGCTTTGAGAGCCTGCTCACTGTTGGCAAGGGGCCTGGTGTGTTTGGAATGTCTGCTTGTATTTGAGGTTCGGTGTGCATTTGGGGGATCAGCGTGTGCGGAAGGCTCTGAGTGTGCTGGCGATCTGTGGGGATATGGGGGTTTGAAGAGCTATGCGGGTTTGGGGTCCTCGTGGATTGTGCACTTCATGTTCCGGAGCACTTTGTATGCAGGAGCCCGTGTGTTGGGTAACGCGTGTTTCTGGAGCTCCGTATGTTTCAGACACCTGTGGATGTTTCTGCGTGCGTGTAGGGGAGTCTCCCTACCCTCGCCCCTTTGTCCATATGTTCCTGCCCCCTGTCCTCCTGGCCTTCCTCCATCTGCCTGGGGCCCTCATTCTGAGCTGAGGGCCCTCCTCCAGCCCAGGAGCAGTGACCCCAAGGACAGAGCCCAGTGACAGGGGAGGAAGGTAAAAGCATCTACAGAAAACCGGCTCCTGAAGCCCCACCCGCCTCAGGCACCCCCGGCTCCCCATTTTTCAGGGGAGGAAACGGAGGCCACGAGTACTTTGGCCACAAGGGAGTCGCTGCCAGAGCCCACCTTGTCCCCGGGGGCTGCTGTGGGCCCCACCAGCCCTAGGTCACCCACAGTGCCCCCCTCTGAGGCCATCGCCCAGGCCCCTGGGAGGAGGCGGGCACAGAGCTTGGGCAGGTCATTGGCAGCTGGGGTCAGAGTCACCAGAGCCCTCAGAGGGGTGGAGGGGGGGTCCCGGCTTTCCAAGGGGCTCTTCCTGTCGCCGGTAATGAGGTACTTGGGGAGCAGGTGATGAAACCAGCGCTGGGGTTGCGTGAGGCGTTCTGGCCTGATTGCTGCGGAGGCCCAGGAGCAGCGCCCCCTCCCCGCCACCTCGCAGAGTCCCCGCGGGCCCACCTCCCCCCACCACCCACCTGCCTCTCACTTCTCCTTTCCTACCCTCCTTCCCGGCCTGGTCCCCACCGAGCTGTGGCCTCCGGGCTGTGGCCTCCGGGCGGGCGCAGGGGCCTGGCGGCATGCTGTCGCTCATCCCCCGATTCAAGTCCCCGTGGGAGCCCAGAAGAGGAACTGGCTCCGTCCCTGATCCTTTCTCTCAAACCCTCACGGCAACGCCCGTGAGGCCACGATTCTGTGGCCCATTTTGTGGGGGAGGAAGTGGGGGCTTGATGTTGCCAAGTCTGTCCTGTGCTCGTCGCCATGGCACCTGACTCAGCGCTCCTAGTCCCAAGGCCCAGAGACACTTTGTGGGCACCATTCCCCACCCCCAACCCCTCCTCCCCAGCTGGTGGAAAAGGATTCTTAGCCCCATTTACAGGTGAGAAGACCCGAGTCCTCACGTGGAGAGGCCAGTGGGAGAGTGGGGTTCCTTTCAGGCCCCGTCTCCATCACCAGGGGCTCGGGGGGGCGGGGGGGCGGGGTCTCACCAGGCCTGGGAAGCGACAGTCATGGCTTGAAGGACCCCTGGGATGTTTGTTGATTGACTTAGTGACCACGAGTCTCATCACAGAGAGTTGATGGTACCCCAGAAGCTCATGAAAATCTTCCTTCACCCCCAGCGCTTGCCCGGCATCGTGCTCAGGCCTGGGGCCCGGGCTCCTCCCCACCCCAGGTGTGTGCTCCCCTCGGTAGACAAATGACCCATACACTTCTGCCCAGCTGCACCCCATTTCAGTTCGGGGGCCCTGTCTCTCACCTCAGCCTCTCCCTGCCACCTCTCTCCTGCCTAGACAGCTGCTGCTCCCCACGGCAGCCAGGAGCGGACGGGAGGGAGCTTTTAAAAAAAACACGTTTGCTTGAGACAAATCACAGAAACCATCCAAGTAGAACGCACAGATTTGCACACACTGAACACATCCCTGTACCCAGACCCTGGACTGGGGACCAGATCCCCCGTCTCTAGGACTCCCCCGCCCGGGCGGCCTCTGGGCGGACACCCATCGCCGGGAGGGAGTTTTGCCCGTTCTGGAACGCCATGTAGACGGGCTCACATGGCCGGTCTCCTCCGCGGCGTCCACGCTGTGGGACTGGCACGGGTCTAGCAGAGGCCGCCGCGCGGACGCACGGGGCCAGAGCGCATCCTTCCTCCGTGCGATGCCGCAGTCCGCGGTGGCGTCGGCCGGGAAGCATTGCCACTCCCCCCGCGGAGGGTGTCCGGCCGCTTCCAGTTTGGGGCCGTGATGAACGGAGCCGAGTCCTCTGGCAAAACCTAGGCCCGTTTCTATTGGTGCATGCTGAGCTGAGAGGTCACTGTGTCACAGGTGAGCCATGTTCACATTCAGTCCGTGCCAGTTCTCCACCGTGGCTGCACCTCCTTCCCCTCCCGCCAACAGCACATGAGAGTCCAAGGTGTTTTGTTTTTGTGTGTTTTTTTTTTAACTTTAAAGCCATATCCTGACCCTCCTCGGCCCCCAAACTCTCTGTGGCTTCCCGTTGTCCTCAGAGTAAAGCCCACAAAAACCTAAACGACCCAAAACCTCCACAATCCTCCCCACCACCATGCTCCCCACCTCTCCGCCTGGCCATGCTGTCTAGCCACACAGACTTCTTTGCTTTTTTACTTTTTCCCCCCCAAATGCCAAACTCACGATCACTCTGACCTTTGGCCCTTGCAGATCCACAGCCAGGACCACCTTCCCCCAGACCTCCCACCACTGACTCCCCTCACGCTCCTGTCCTTTAAGCTCTGATAACAGCCGTACAGCCTCGGGGCCCGCTGTCTGTCTGTGGTAGGTCTCAGTCACGTTTCCAGGCTTCCGCGGCCGTGGCTCTCCTTCCACTTTCTACCTCTGAGGTCTGCTTTCCCAGTGGTCGGAGCATGGTTGATCGTAATGAATGCTAAGTACAAGGGTGTGAAGAAAGGGGTGGGGAAGTGGTCTCTTGGTTTCAAATGCCCACCCCACTGCCTATCCGCTCAGTCTCTCCCCTGAGGCCCGATTCCATGCTTCCTCCTCTGAGATGCCCTCTGGAACTTCTCCTGACCCGTCCTTCTTGCTCCATTTCCTGTCCATGGGTCTACCTCTCCGCTGGGCAGATGCCACAGACTCTCTGCTCTCTGGCTGGGCATGGGTGTGGGGGTGCACAGAAGAGGCTCCCCAAACCTCAGCCTCCCCCCCGCTCGTGCCTGGCACATTCAGCGGCCACCACCACCTCCCCCCAGCAGTTCCGATCACGCCAACATCTGGAGCGCTGGCCGCTGGTCTGTCTGCGGCTCGGGGTGGGGATTTGCATGTGAGTGCAAATATACATGCACACCCCGGGTCTCCCACCCCCACATTCCTTGGCTGGCCCTTCACACCTGGGCCTGAGACAGGTCCACTCGGTGGCTGGATTTGCATGCGCATGTATTTCTGGGTAGGGAGTCAGCTGGGGGAGTCTGAGAGGAAGTTGTTGAGGGAAGCTGGGGGTAGTTCAGACGTGCCTCTTTTAACCACTCCATTCACCAACTCTACCCAACAACCCCTCTATCTGACCCTGAGGCTTCCAGCCTGGATCCCAGCTCCATGGATGTACACATCCCCAGCCCCACGGGGTCAGAACGGAAGGGAAGGATGGCAGCTGTAGCAGTCTAGACTGAGATCAGGAGGGCTTCCTGGAGGAATGGATTAAAAACACACACACTATATTTATTATTTTATTTTTAAAAATATATATTTTATTGATTTTTTTACAGAGACGAAGGAAGAGCGATAGTTAGAAACATCGATGAGAGAGAAACATCGGTCAGCTGCCTCCTGCACAGTCCCCAATGAGGATGTGCCCGCAACCAAGGTACATGCCCTTGACCTGAATCGAACTGGGACCTTTCAGTCCACAGGCTGATGCTCTATCCACTGAGCCAAAACGGTTTCGGCTGTATTTAAAATGTTTTTATTGATTTTAGAGAGGGAGAAAGGAACAGGGAGAGAGAAGCATCAGTCCGTTGCTTCCTACATGCTTCCTACTAGGGTTCAAGCCTGAAACCCCTGCCAGGAATTGAACCAGCCACCTTTGGTTCATGGGATTATGCTCAACCAGCAGAGCCGCACAGGCCAGGGTGAGGGATGAGTTTTTTGAGCTGGGTTTTGACGTGTGAATAGGAGTTGTTGAAGGTAGAGAACGGTGGGCAGGGACTGACCGGGGCAGGGCCTTGAATGCAAGGCTGGGAAGTGACACTGCCTCCTGATGGTAGTGGGGAGCCATGAAGAGTGTGTGAGCAGGGAGGGACAGGATCAAGGCTTTGTGCTGGGCTGATCCCTCCAGGGCCAGCGCAGGGGGTGACTGTAGTTCCTGGGAGAGGACTGGGAGTTTCAGGGTCACGGGAGGTTAGAAGAGTGTCAGGCCAGACCCTGGGGGACCTTCTGACGGACCCAAAGAGACGTGGGATACCCTGACCTCACCCCCAGTTTCTGTCCAGATGGATGCGGCTCTGGCCTCTTCTCCAGCATCCTGCCATCTCTACCCTGGCCGCCCCCCAACCCCCCAGCAATGATAACTAAAACTCCATCCCGCTTTTTCCAACCCTCCCACGGCTCTCGTTGCTCTTAGACCCAACCTCGAAGCCTCCCCCACAGCTCAGAGGACCCAGAGGGGCCCTGGTCTGAGGCCTCTCCCTCAGGCTCCTCCCTCCAGGCTTGCTGCTGCATCTCGTCCCTGCTCAGGGCCTTTGCACCTGCTGTCCCTTCTGGCTGGAGCTCACTTCCTGTCTCAGTTCAGAGCGACCCCCGTGACCTTCTGGCTCTCTCGGCTCCCTCATGGTGTGACCCCTGCCCCCGCAGGGATGTCCTTGTCTAAAACGGGGACAGCCTGAGAAGGGGCCGGAGTCAGATACTCCAGGCTCAGATTCTCAGGTTCATGTCCCAGGTTCCCATGGGACCCCGGGCGTGGGGGGCACTTCCGGAGTCATCTTGGCACCGGGACCTCCGGACCAGGGCCCCACTTCTGTCCCCGGGGACCCATCCGGGCGAGGGCACCACATCCCAGCCGTGGGAAACGAGCCCGCTTCCAGCCAGGGATTAAAATTAGCCCCAGAGGTTAAATTTAGCAAATCATTCTGGACCTGGGGTAGGGGGGTGGGGTGTCTGATCGGCTGGGCTCTGCCTAGTGGTGACGGCTCAGAAAGCCAGCCCAGAGAAGGCAGAGGGCACTCCTGCAGCCACACAGCGAACCACTTATGACGGCCAAGGCATCTGACAGCCCCGGGCCCTGGGCCTCTGTGGTGCAGGGGGTCCCACCCACTCCCTCAGAGAAGCAGCTATGGCTGCTCTCGGAGACAGACCTCATTTCCCTACCCTTCCCCGGGGCCTGTTTCCAGGTCTGGGCCAGGTGCTCTGCATTTCACACCCACCCAGTCACACAACGGCAAGCTGAGGCCGGGGGAGGCCCCGGTGGCTGAGGGCTGCCCCGTGGGCTGGAGACCGGCTGGGATCTGAGCGCTGCCCCCTTACCCTGGGCGGGCCTGTGATGCTGCCTCGGTCACCTGTGACACGGGAGGGCTGGGGGTCCAGGGTGGTCCCAGAGTAGTGGAGGGGTGTCGGGGGCCTCAGGGCCTGGGGTGGCTGACTGGACGGCATGATGGGTGCCTCCCGGCAGGTTTCTTCGTCCCAAGGACCCCTGCACGGGGCCCTGGGGAAGCCCTGGCCCACATGCTGCTGGTCTTGGGGACATGCTGTCCGCCCTGGGTTGCCCGCTCTCCCTTTTGGGGCTCACACTGGGGAGATCTGAGATCCCCGGGAGGAGGGTCAGGGTGTCGCCCGCGTTGCTCTGGGCCCAAAACGGGGTCTGAGGGCTCCAAGCCTAAGGTCTCTCCAGGGCGTCCTCGCCTCCTCCTGGTAGAAAGGGGGGCAGGGTGGGTTTCTGTTATTTAAAGTTTTTTGTTGTTTTTTTAATTAAAAAAATTTTTTAAACAGAAATAGTCCATAATCACTTTTGGGAAAGTTAGAAAGTTCAGATAATCAAAAAAGGGGCAGGGGGAGAAGACATAAGAGGCTGCACATTGTATGATCCCATTTACATAAAATGTCCAGAACAGGCAACGCGGGAGAGGCAGGGAGCAGTCAGTGGATGCCGGGGGTGGGGGCGGGGGAGTGATTACTCATGGGAATGGGGTCTCTTTTTGGGGATGAAAATTTCCGGAACTGCATAGAGGTGATGGTTCTACAACATTGTGAATAACTAAATGCTACTGAATTGTGCACTTTAGTTTTAAAATATTTTTTATTGATTTCAGAGAGGAAGGGAGAGGGAGAGACAGAAACATCAATGATGAGAGAGAATCATTGATCGGCTGCCTCCTGCATGCTCCCAACACACACACACACACACACACACACACCCCTAAGCCCCATAACCCAGGCATGCGCCCTGACCTCCCGGCTCATAGGTCAGCATCCGACCACGGAGCCACACTGGCCGGACTTGTTTGTTTCCGTAACCGCAGGCCTCGGTCTCAGTTTGAGGAGCGATTGGGTGTTGTATGAGTTGAAAGGTGTCCGAAGGGCGGGTCAGGCTCACGTTCAGAGGCTCAGGATGGCAGCGGAGGTCCCTCCGACCTGGCCTGCTGAGGGCTCTCAGGCTGTTGCCAATATTCCCAATGGCAGTACATGTGTGGCATCTGCCATGTGCCAAGCAGGTGGGTGAGCAACCATGAGCAGCACACAGCACTGCCATCCCTCCTGCAGACAGATGCCCATGGAGCTCAGGGCTCCCCCCGCCCCTGCCCCATTGTTACCAGCGGGGAGTTTTTAGAAGCTGGGGCAGGAGCATCTGTACCGCCATCTGTTGGCCTGGGCCAGCCTTCCCCTCACGTGGAATTGGTGTGGAGGTGTTCGCTGAATATGGACTGTATCCTGGTCTGGTTGATTGAGAATGGGGTCCTGCCCCGATGTCCCCCATCAACTCTCCTTGGTGCCTGGCAGGGGAAGTGAGGACAGAGGAAGGCTGGCTCCCTGACCCCACTGTCCACCCACCCACTCCGTCCTCTTTTCCCTCTCCCACAGGCCAAGGTTGCTCTGCCCAGCCCAGGACCATGGGGAGGAAAAAAATCCAGATCTCACGCATTCTGGACCAACGGAATCGTCAAGTGAGTTCGTTGGGTGGGAAGGCAGGCGTTCATGGCAGGGGACACAGCCTGGGCAAAGGCCTAGCCATTTGGGGGGATTACAGGGGAATGAGTCTTGATGGCATGTCTAGAGTTTGAGATGTAGCATTTGCTCATTTTCTTAATGATTTTTTGAAGTCCTGGTCACAGAGGAGATGGACCAGAGGGAGGCACAGAACTGGGGAAGCTCAGAGAGGGAGTGTGGCCTCTGCCTAGGAGGCCAAGGAAAACGTCCCAAAGAAGGGGTCATTTGGGATGGGCTTTGACGCATCAATAGAAGTTTGCCAGGTTGAGAAGTGAGAAGAACAGCCAGGAAGAACAGCACGTACAGAGGCACAGAATCACGGGGCATGTTCAGAGAGCAGTTAGGCCCCTCCTTCTCCTCCACCCCACCCCAAGTCTTTGTCTCCTCCCTCTCCCCTTGGGTGCTGGGTCTAGGTGACTTTTACCAAAAGGAAGTTTGGGCTGATGAAGAAGGCCTACGAGCTGAGCGTGCTCTGCGACTGTGAGATCGCGCTCATCATCTTCAACAGCGCCAACCGCCTCTTCCAGTACGCCAGCACGGACATGGACCGGGTGCTCCTGAAGTACACCGAGTACAGCGAACCGCACGAGAGCCGCACCAACACCGACATCCTCGAGGTACCGGGCCCTCCTCCCGCGAAGCCACGCACTCTGCTGGCTCGGAGGCTGGGGACTCGGAAAGAGGAGTGCTGCAGGCTGTCTTTGCTGCCAGTTAACGCAGGCTTAGGGTATTCGAGTGTCCCTCTGGGGCAGTTACCCGGCCAGCAGAAATAAAAACACCCACCGGCCCTGGCTCAGTTGGTTGGAGCGTGGTCCCACACACTTAAAGGCTGTGGGTTCGATTCCCTGTCAGAGCCCAGGGTTGTGGGCTTGCTCCCCGGTAGAGGGCGTGCAGGAGGCAGTCAGTTGATGTTTGCTCTCACATCGATGTTTCTCTCTCTCCCCCCCCCCTCTCAGTTTCTCTCTCTCAAAAAAATAAAAAAACCTTTTAAAAAAAATCAACCACTATAGATTGAAAGCTGCACTAGGTGCCTCTTATGTACATTATCTCATTTAATCCTATCGCCCATTTGGTGAGGACAGAACAGAGAAGAACAGGCACCGTGGAGCAAGCTGACCTCGCTGAGGTCCGGACCATGCAGCTCTCTGGTCCCAGGGAACTCAGAAAGTCCTGTAAAGCTGTCTTCAGGTGCTCCGTTTCTTTTCTTTTTAAAAAACATATATTAATTAACTTTTTACAGAGAGGCAGGGAGAGGGATGGAGAGTTAGAAACATCAATGAGAGAGAAACATCGACCAGCTGCCTCCTGCACACCCCCTACTGGGGATGTGCCCGCAACCAAGGTACATGCCCTCAACCAGAATCAAACCCGGGACTTTTCAGTCCACGGCCCTATCCACTGAGCCAAACCAGTCAGGGCATGGTGCTCAGTTTCTTGATATTTATTATGCACCTACTGCATGCCAGGCCCTACAGCAGCTCATGGATGCAGAATGTAGATACCAGAGCTGTATTCAGGAATGTTAGGACAGGGCCAGCAGGCCGGGTGGATCTGTGGTTTCAGGGCAAGACGGTCCCTCTCTCGCACTCAGTTGGAACTTAACAAATGATAACTCGCTGGGGGTTTGGTCAATGGAATGTAGCTGGAGCAGGCTGTGCCTGCACTCTGCTCCCCCCCACCCCCCCACCCCAGAGCTGGGCAGGTCTCTCCCTTCACTGTACAACCAGGCCCCCTGGCTTGGACCAGGGGAGAGTCATCCTGTGTCCCTTCCCCACAGACACTGAAGCGGAGGGGTGTGGGCCTTGATGGGCCCGAGCTGGAGCCAGACGAGGGGCCTGAGGGCCCGGGAGAGAAGCTGCGGAGGCTGGCAGGTGACGGGGGTGAGCCAGCCTTGCCCCGGCCCCGGCTCTATGTAAGTGACTCCCTGCCCTGCGCGAATGTGGCCCTCCCCCACCTCTCAGGCCCAAGTGGTCAAGGCCGGGACTAGAAAAGGGTGGTAGGTCTCTGCCTGGGTGGGCAGGAAAAGCTTCCTGGAGGAGCGGGCATTGTAGCTGGGGCTTTGGAAGATGAATAGAAGGTCAAAAGGCAGATCATGCCTTCTTTTCTTTCCTTCTATTTTTTTTTTTTTTTAAATTCATCAAATACCTGGGAAGACCTCTCAGTGCCAAGCACCGAGTGAGAAGCCTCAGCTCTGGGCCTGGCGGTCCAGCAGCAGCAGAGCCAGGCCCCTGCAGGCCTGTGAGGGAGGGCCAGAGGGAGGGCTAGTGAGAGTTTCAGGTGGACGCTGGCCCCTGAACTCATTGGGATATCCTCTTGGACTTGGTGTCCTCACCTCCTTGGTCCTCCAACCACTCGTGTCCTCTCTGCCCTCAGCCAGCAGCCCCCACGATGCCCAGCCCAGACATGGTGTACGGGGCCCTGCCCCCACCAGGCTGTGACCCCAGTGGGCTCGGGGAAGCCCTGCCCGCCCAGAGCCGCCCGTCCCCCTTCAGGCCAGCAGCCCCCAAAGCTGGGCCCCCGGGTAAGCATGGGGCACAGGCCCTGGGGAAGGTGGGGGCGGGTCCCAGGGGAGCCTGTGGGGTGGGATCTTGGCTCCCACACTGCTTGTCTGCGCTCCTCATTCTGGACCCAGACTTCCGTGGATGACGTGGCTGCCGGCCCTCTCTCTGGGGGTCTCCTGCTCCACAGGCCTGGCCCATCCTCTCTTCTCACCGAGCCACCTGGCCAGCAAGACCCCGCCGCCCCTGTACCTGGCAGCGGACGGGAGGAGGCCAGACCTGCCTGGCGGCCTGGCAGGGGCCCGCGGGGCACTGAGCACTTCCGTGAGTGAGGGGAAGGAGAGCCAGGCTGGTGGGGGCAGGCAGGGTGGCCTGAGGGTGGGCCTCAGTTTCCCCCTCACCCTTTCTCCGCACAGAGAGGCCTCTACGGCAGCCTGCAGAGTCCATGCTCCGGGGCAGCTCCAGGACCCTTCCCTTTCCTCCCCGCGGGCCCCCCAGGTATGCACCCACCAGCTCTGCTGTGGGGGGACCCACGCTCGTGCCTGCGGGGAGGCCACACTCCCCCACCTGCCGACTAAACACTGGCTGCTGGGTGGTGCAGGCTTGGGCAGGGGATCCCAGAGGTGGGGACCTCAGCTTATACTTCTTGCCTCCGCCCCCAGAATATGGCCTGGGAGACCCCCCTCCGCCTCCCGGCTTGCTGCAGCCCCCTTCCCTGGCCCCCTGGCAGCCCTCGAGGGGTGACGGGCCCCTGGCCGGCCTTGCCCAGCCCAGGTAAGTGCCCCGAGCCTCTCCGACCCGAGCCAGGCTCCCGGGCCACTGCTGCCACCTGGTGGCCACTCCTGTCTCTGCATCCAGCCCTTCGTCGTGCTGGGGCGGGAGGGCGGGGTTGGGAGAGGTAGGGGGGGCGGGGATTCTATTTTGGAGGCCCCAAGGGGGATGGCCACCCCCTCTTTTCCCAAGGTCCGCCCGCCAAGCTTTGACCCAAGCCGTGCACCTCTGGTTTCCCTCCCTCCCTTCCTCGTGAAGCTCACGGCCCCCACCTCATTCATATTCTCTCTCTCTCTCTCTCTCTCTCTCTCTCTCTCTCTCTCTCTCTCTCTCTCTCTCCCCCCCCCCCCCTCGTCCTCTCCCCCCCCCCCGCAGTGGGGGCCGAAGCCTGGGCGAAGAGGGTCCTCCAGCCCGCGGCGCCTCCCCGCTGACCCCCCACGTCAGCATCAAGTCCGAACGCCTCTCGCCCGCGCCCGGCGGCCCCGGCGACTTCTCCAAGGCCTTCCCCTTCCCGCTGCTCCTGGCGCGGCCCGGGCCCCCGCTGCGCCGGCTCCCCGCGGCCGACGGCTGGCCCCGGTAGTGGCCCCGGTAGTGGCCCCGGTAGTGGCCCCGGTAGTGGCCCCGGTAGTGGCCCGGGGTGGGGCTGGCCTCGACCCCGCACCAGGCCGGGCGAGGGCACTGGACTCCCAGCCCGCTCCGGTGTCCTTAGAGAAGACCAACGATGTGACTCCCCTCCGGGTGTCCTGGAGGAGGAAGGCTGGGCTGGGTCCATGGTCCGGGCTCTGTCGCCCCTTTCTGAGTGTGTACCCACCAATAAAGCACGTGGCTCCGTGGATGAGGTGATCTGTCGCTGCTCAGAGCATCCCCACCCCTGCCCGGCCTCCCATCTCCTCCCTGGGGCCTCGGTCTTGGCTTGGCTGGGTTTGGGGTGCTCCTGCCAGAATTCCATCCTGAGGTGAGGGTTAGGGTTAGGGTTCAGGTGGGGTATGGGGACAAAGGTCCATGGTGGGTGGCAGGACAGGGGCCCTGCAGGGGGTACAAGTGAACAGGTGACACTGGTGGGCAGCTGGGCCCCTGAGGCCTTGGGGGATTTTTTGGAGTGTACCCCTGAAGTGGTCCCACCCACTGCCCCACCGCCCCCCTCCAGTGGTCCCGCCCCCCGCCCCCCGGAGTGGTCCCACCCACCGCCCCCGGAGTAGTCCCACCCACTGCCCCTGCAGTGGTCCCAGCCACCGCCCCTGGAGTGGTTCTGTCCTACTGCGAAGGGCTATTTGCCCTCAGATTTTGGGAGTGTCAGGTGGTAGGCCCAGAGGGAAATACCACAATTGCTTGCAGCAAGAAGCAGTTGGGGCCCTGGCTAGTGACCTTCAGATGGAAGGGTCTTGGGTTTGATTCCAGGTCAAGGGACATACCTGGGTTGCAGGTTCCATTCCTAGCCACATGTGGGAGGCAATCAATCTATGCCCCCCCCTCTCTCCCTCTCTCTCTTCTCCCCTCCCCCTGCCATCCCTCCTTTCCACTTTTCCTAAATATCAATGGGAAAATATTCTCCAGTGAGGATTAACAAAAATAAAAAATCCTATATAATAAAGAGGTAATATGCAAATTGAACCTCATGCCCTCACACAAGATGGATGCCCCCATGTGGTCAAAGATGGTCGCCACAAGATGGCCAACAGGGGAGGGTAGTTGTGGGCAATCAGGTCAGCAGGAGAGGGCAGTTAGGAGCGACCAGGCTTCCAGGGGAGGGCAATTGGGGGGACCAGGCTAGCAGAGGGGGAATAGTTGGGGGTGGGGGGGACCAAGCCTGCAGGGGAGGGCAGTTAGAGGCAACTAGGCTGGCAGGGGAGGGCAGTTGGGGGCAACTAGGCTAGCAGGGGAGGGCAGTTGGGGGCAACCAGGCCTGCAGGGGAGGGCAATTGGGGCAACCAGGCCTGCAGGGGAGGGCAGTTGGGGGCAACCACGCCTGCAGGGGATCAGTTAGGTGTTGATCAGGCTGCCAGGGGAGTAGTTAGGGGGTGATCAGGCTGGCAGGCAGGTGAGCGGTTGGGAGCCAGCAGTCCCGGATTGTGAGAGGGATGTCCGAGGGGTCCCAGATTGGAGAGAGTGCAGGCTGGGCTGAGGGACATCCCCCCCACCCCCAGTTCACAAATTTCGTGCACCAGATGTCTAGTAAAAAAATAAAGGAAGAAGCAGTTAGGAATCTTGAATGTTGGGATACTGTGCGGTTCCTCTTTTAAATGGGCTTATCCCTTGACTCAGCACTTTGTCCCACCGGAGGGAGCCAGGTAGTTATCCGCCTGCTCCAAGGTGTGCACTGCCGCCCCTCCCTCATTCTTGGAGCCCTATTGCTCATCCCACTTCCAATCACCCACAGGTGGTCTCAATGGGATCTTTTTTTTTTTTTTTTAAGTTTATAGTTTATTAGTTCTCTCACAAAAATATCTGCATAACCATCACAGATAGTCACCAAAGAATCTTTACTCCTTCTGTTATTCAATCTCCAGCTCACTTTTTGCCAGCACCAACATTGGCCTTAGCAGTCCCCTTGACTTTCTTCATCCTGTTCTTGCGTTCCTTTCTCTGTTTTCTTGAGGTCTTCTTCTTCTCATATAGGCCATGTCGTGCAAGTCTGTGTTTGGGTTCATTTTTCTTTGCTTAATCCAAGGAATCATAAATCATGCCAAAGCCAGTGGTCTTGCCACCACCGAAGTGGGTTCTGAATCCAAACACAAAGATGACATCAGGTGTGGTCTTATACATTTTGGCTAGTTTTTCCTGAATTTCTGTCTTGGGTACTGTTGCCTTCCCAGGGTGAAGGACATCGATGACCATTTGCTTCCGCTGAAGTAGTCTGTTGGTCATGAACTTCCTGGTCCGGATGGTTACTGTGTCATTCATGATGAAGGTTTAGCTTCCAGCAGCCAGGGAGGAAAAGCTCAATGGGATCTTAAAAAACAAATTCAAGTGGGAGAGAGAGAAGCATTGATTTGTTGATCCACTTATTTCTGCATTCATTGGCTGGTTCCTGCATGTGCCCTGACTGGGGATGAACCCACAACCTTGGCCTATCAGGGGATGCTCTAACTGAGCTACCCACCAGGGCCTCAGAAGTTTCTTTTTTCTTTCTTTAAAAAAAAATATATATATATTTTATTGATTTTTTCACAGAGAGGGATAGAGAGTTAGAAACATCGATGAGAGAGAATCATCAATCAGCTGCTCCCTGCAACCCCCCCCCCCCCACTGGGGATGTGCCCACAACCAATGTACATGCTCTTGACTGGAATCGAACCTGGGACCCCTCAGTCCGCAGGCCGACACTCTATCCACTGAGCCAAACCGGTTTCGGCTCAGATGTTTCTTTACGACTGTCAGATCAGACCCTCGACCTTCATAGCTCCTCAGGTGCCCCCACTCACTCTGCCTGTGTCCCCCACGCTAGCTGCCCTGAGCCGTCTAGAATCACTTGCATGTCCAACCCCAGGACCATGCTGCCCTCCTTTCTGAGCCACCTCCCTCAACCCCCCCCCCCCCACCTTTTTGTAAAAGACTGCGTCCTGCCTCCCAAGGCCCAGCTCCGTGTCTGCACTGCCCGAGCCGAGAAGTGGCTCCGGCCGCTAAGTTAAGCAGGGGGTCTGCTGAGAGCAGACCACCAGTTTGAACAGGGCCGTGGAGAACACAGAGTGTTGGCGTCAGCACTTAAAACGATTTGTGCCCCTCTCCCATCCCCCAAGGATCCAGAGCTGATTGGCTGTTGAAGACTCTCGTCCCCCCTTTTCAGCTCAGCACCCCACAGAGGAGCTTCTTCCCTAAAACCCAATCCCCCGTCCCCCCAGGAGCGCACAGTCACAGATGGTGGACAAAGTGGGGAGGCAGGCACTCCGCAGGCTTCACAGTCAGTCCGGTCCCTGGAATTCAGCACCTTCTCCACCTCCACTTCTGTAGGCACCGAGACCCAGGGCTGACTCCTTCAGGGGTGGGGGGAGGGCAGAATCGGACAGACCTTCCTGTGAGGCGGGGCGCTCTCACAGGGCACCATGCTGCCCACATGCAGACCCATTAGGACGTGTCCTCCATGGGTCTTCCCAGTCCTAGGCACATCATCTCTAGTAAGGTAGGGGCTTTGGGGACCCCATTTCCAGGAGAGGGACATGGCATTCCCGAAGCTCCCCTCCTCAGGGCTTCTGTGGCGGGGGGGGTGCAGGGGGGGGGCAGGGGCAAGAGCAGCAGGAGGCTGAGGGCTGGGAGGGGGGTGTGTTTGGGGGCAAAGCCACCAGGAACCCTGGCAGGGGCAGTAGTGGAGCCCACAGCTGTGCTGGGAGGTGTGGGGTGAACGCAGGGCCTCTGTAAGATGCCCAAGGTAGACTGGGGAGTCTTCTTACCCAACACAGACTCGGGTCCTAAGTCCTCTCCACCTGCTCCCTGTGCCCCTGCCACCCTCAGAGGAGGGGTGAACCACTGCCCCCCCCCCCCTCCAGCCCCTGACGGAGCTCAGGGATCCGGGCTGCGCATACAGCCTCCGCCCCTCCACCCCAGCGGCCGGGGCATGGTGGTCACCTTGAGGATGCACATTCTCCACCTGGGTTACCCTTCTGGGGATCCCCTCCTTCAGGTCCTAAGAACCCTGGCCATCTGCATGAGGGTGTACAAGCTTTGCAGTCACAGCTCCCCACAGAAGCAGACTCAGGACCCCTGGGGGAAACTGAGGCACAGCCAGAGAGGGTCTCTTCTCGACCTCTGGATCTCACCCTTGCAATGGACAAGAAGCCAGGGCAGTCTCTGAAGTCTGTATCCACAATCTAAGCTCTCAGTGGCTGCTTTCAAAGGCTGGGGGAACCCTAGGGACTGTGTATGTGGTTCTGTGTCCCTCATCACCGGGAGGCTGCACTTTTGCCATCTGCCATTAGGTGACGCCCAATTACGGGCTTTGGATTCTGTGCTCCCCACTCAACATTTAAAAAAATATATATCTTACTGATTTTTTACAGAGAGAAAGAGAGAAGGTAGAGAGTTAGAAACATCGATGGGAGAGAAATATCTTAAGAGAGAAGCATTGATCAGCTGCCTCCTGCACACCCCCTACTGGGGATGTGACTGCAACCAAGGTACATGCCCTTGACGGGAATCAAACCTGGGACCCTTCAAGTCTGCAGGCCCTGGGACCCTTCAGTCTGCAGGCAGATGCTCTATGCAATGAGCCAAACAGGTTAGGACACCACTCAACATTTTAAAATAGAGATAGGAATGAGTAAATAAAATCCATCTTGGCTTCCAAGGGCTCCACCCATGTTTTTAGGCTCCCAGCCTGGGACCCAGGCTGTGTCATGTGTTGTGTGTGTGTGTGTGTGTGTGTGTGTGTGTGTGTGTGTGTGTTTTGTGTGTCTGTGATAATACAGATACAGCCTGTGGTGTCCTAACCCATGAAGGGACTATGGGCAGGCTACTGGGTTCTAGAAACATCTCTGAGTCCCGACCTCAGATATGCCCCTGTGGCTTTCTTGGGAAGGAAGCAGGGAGGGCTGTATGGAAGTGTCCCACCGCTAGCCTTGCTAAGGACACCCTGATGACATCAGCCAGGGCCCCCAGTTCCCCCCAGGAGCTCCATCCCTGGTTGGAAGCACCATGGGAACTGTGTCCTGGGCACCAACACTGTGACGGAAGTGGGATATCTCAGAGATGCATTTTTCAGAGCACCGTGGTGAAACGGTCAGTTTGGAATGAGAGTGCGGGCCTCAGGGTGGCCAGAGAATGTGGGACATTAGTGTGAACGGCATAGGGAGATCCAGTGAGGACCAGGGGACATAGAATACCCGATGGAGAGGACAGAGACCAACG